ACAAGAGGAGGAAGAAGCAGGAGAGGAACATTTGTGGCACTAATAATTTGAGCGGTCAGTATGTAAGACGCACCATTTCCTTCTGCACAAGGAGTGTAGTAGTTATTTGTAATAGTAGTATTTCGCAGCGACAGTATCACAGGAAACCAACCAACAACACAGAGAGGGATGGAATTAGGAATTTGTATTTGGCAGAATTATATTTCAATTCATATAATAAATATATTAACAAACAACAGTACTCATTCAAACAGTACAGTAATAGAAAATGTCAGTCAGCATATCCGCCGCATGTCGAATGTCTCCTTCCGTGTTTATAATGAGATCTCACTTTGCTTACAAGTCTCTGAGATCTTCTAACTGATTCTCTGATATTATTTTCATCACTGTCATATGGACTTATTTCTGAATTGTCTACAAAATCTGGATTAGTAGCGGAATCATTAAAATTGTAATCAGAACGACCTACTTCATTTATTTTCCCTTGATCCAGGTGTCTGTTATGAACTGAATGGTCTTCGATGTCTAATATTTTCACCATTCGATTTCCCATTTTTTGTATTATGATTCCAACAGAAGGTCTATAGTCATTCCCTCTGTAATAATGTACATCAGAAGTCGTAGACATAAGGTGCTTTCTGAGAATTCGAGATTTGAACAGTTTAGCAGGACTTTCATGGGTACTTGCATGCTCCGCATTGCGATATTGAAGTAGGAAGTTATCTACACATCTCTCTAGCTCATCAAGATTCTCAGGACTCATTGATGCTATGGCACTCTTTAATGTTCGTACGAAATTATCTGTCAACCCGTTAGACTGAGGATGCCATGGTGCTGTGTACAGATGACGACAACCTATACGTTTAATCCAATCATTGAAGTTCTTCTCAGTGAAATGAGTACCATTACCAGTAACTAAGACATCTGGAATTCCTTCTCGACTGAAAATCTTCCTCAAAGCTCTGTGTGTGAATTTCGCATTAGGACTCTCAGTAATTATGACTTCTGGCCATCTAGAATAAGAATCCACAATAATTAAGGCATAGTATCAATTTAAGAATGGACGACAGTAATCCGCATGAATACTCTGCCAAACCTCATAAGACGCAGGCCATGTGTTACAATTAATTGTAGTAGTAGTATTTCACAATGACCGAATCACAGGAAATCAACCAACAACACAGTGAGGGATGAATTCAGGAATTTGTATTTGGCGGAATTATTTGTAATTTGTATAATAAATATATTAACAAACGACAGTAAGTATTTAAACAATACAGTGATAGAAGTTGTCAATCACTACACCGTGGTTTCCACGATGACTTCTCATAGGACATTTTATGCAGACAACTGGAACAGCTCTTTGATCTTTTGCTAGTTTCAGCATCAACCAGCACATTAATAATAATAATAATTTGCTTTATTCCAGAAACAGTACTAGTGGTACAGCGTGGAATTTTCGGCGCATATCTACAATATTTGCATCCAATTTTATCAAACATTTAAAAGGAGTATTTCAAAAAATAAATATAAAGACAACAACAACAACAACAAAACAAACACAAAAATAATATTTTAAAAATGCGAAAAGAATACCAAGAAGTAGAAAGGAAAATAAACAACATACAATACTATCTCAGTATTGGGTAGTGGAAGCTATGATATGATTGTGCATGGTGACAGTAAAGCAACAGTCATACAAGAAGTTATGAAATGATATTTAAGAATGTTTATCGCCAAGATGATCAGTTAATTTAGGTTGAAACAACACTAAACAATCATAAAATAACATTTCAGGGTTGTTTTTTTATCAGGTCTAAATGCGGTGTTTGTAGTGGTAGTGTGAGTAATCCTGCATAATACAAAGTTTTAAGATGGTGATAATGGCTTTCACAACCAAGATTGTCAGTTAATATTGCCGAACAAAAAAACAACAATAACCACAAAAACTAATAATTACATGATGGTTAGTGACAGGACAATTTTGTAATACTCATAATGCTAATATAGTCGGAACCAGTAGATACACAAAAGAAGGAATAGAGTAAAGTACAAAAAAGTAAGCCAATGTTAATAATTTAGGTAGCTAAGTATGTTTAAGAAGGAGTTCACCATAGAATGCAAAACAAGAGAGAAATAAAAGAGCCTAAAATTATGTTGTTAATAACAAAGCACGTCATGGGTTTCGCGCTTAACATTGTCTCTGTCACTTAGAACACGGGCCAAGTATGGTATCGTTGAGTTCCTGTACTTGGTTGTACGAGCATGGATTATTTTATACTGATTTATGGTTTTACTTGATGAGATACAAGGAGAGAGTTGGGAAAAGACGGATTGTTGGGGGTCGGAGAGTATGGTTTTAGACCATTTTTCGTATGTATTCAGATGCCTTTCAACTGATGTAGTGACGAGCTGACTGAGTTTTACACCACTAGTCCTACTAACTACCTTCAACATCCTTCTCAGGATGGTGT